CCTCAACCCCGTGTGAGAGCCAATGGGCGCCCTTCGCCCCTCCACCGCGTCGCCGGTTTAACTTACCGCAGCAAAATCGAGTGCGGTTGAGCGGCAATGGAGTTTCCCTCTTCCTCCCCTGCCCCCGCCCCGTGGGAAACGGGGCGTGCGCTTCAGGGCTGATTGACGTGCAGCTCAAGGGGCGGGACTCCTCTTAAAGGGGCAGCATAGCTCTCCCAGTCAGCTCAAACTCAGTGCTTTTCAACTGGAACCAATTTACATATTCAACTGGAAGTCATCCCGTGTGCAGAGAAAATAAGATAATCAGGGCACGTGGGAGCCGGCTCTTTATCCCATGTTAACAGGTATCGGATCTGTTGATTTCGCTTTCAGGAAGATCGAAGCAAAAAACGTTTCTTTACATTATAGTTTTGTTGAAGCTCGCTCTGCTTTTCTTAGAGACACAGGTGTAACCTGGTCGTGGGTGGTAGTAAAGAGGCGACGTCTGGCCTCTGTAAAGACGCCTATTGTAGTCATCGCAAAGCCTGACCACGTTGCAAAGGATCTTAGAGGTCCTTATCCGCGGGAAAGCTGTGAATGGAATAAATGGCTCATCACCTGCCATGAACAGCTATCTCGAAAAACAAAATCAACATCTCAAGTCGTCCACAAACCTCAATGGTAATTCGGTATTTCCTTTTCCTTTAGATTGTTTCAGTGCTAGAAGGATCGCCTTTGTTCTTCCAGGAGGCTTAAAGAAGCGCGGTCTTTGGTCAAAGAACGGAATGATCTCGCGCTTTTCTCTGTGAAGAATTCTGGCTCTCAACCTGGCTTTTCAAATTAAAAGCAAGGAACACGATGCGGCTTGCAGAACTGTCTCCAGAGAAATAAGAACTGCCCTTCAGCGGGGATATCTGCTTCCTGCCGACCCAGACCATAAAAATATATGTTTACCCCATCCTGAAGAGATTGGTGTCACTTAGCGGCGAGAGAAACAAACCTAAAACTCCGGTTAGCATCTCCGCTCGTCAATAAACTCACCTTCGGAAGGGCCTTATTCTCTCAGCCTCCGTCCTCCATCTGCAACATGGAGGGAATAACCCTAATGTACCTTTGCTACATACGTAGCTATATTATAGGAATTGCAAGAAGATAACGCCTTGGACCGTAAGATCTATAGCCGGGAGCCGGAGAAGTTATAGGAGACCGGAAACCTACGCTCGTGATTTAGCCTTAGGCTACCGTCCTTAGTATAATTTACTTAGGAGTAAGGCCTGTTAAGTTCAATGGGACCGTTCCGAGCAAACAATGCACAAACAGTATGAAGGGTTCAGCTTGCCTTTGCTCACTTTCCATGTGCTGGGTTTTGTTTTTTAAAATATGTTTTTTAATTTATTTTCAGAAGCGGAGTTAGGGTTAGGAGTTCTGATCACACACTTTCTTGATCTGAAACAGATCCATTTGGGAAGAGCTGGTGTCCTGGGCGGGCACGTGCTGACGTTACGTTTCTTTGTCCACTGGAGACAGATGAGCTCGGGTGGGAGACGGCATCGGCCATTCCTCAGTGGGCTCTGCGCGAAGCCCCGAGAGCCGGTGTGGCGCAGGGCAGAAGGAGCCAACTCCTAAGGGCCGAGGGGGCTTCGTGGCCCAAATAAAACATTTTGATGGGCATTGCCATTCAAATGTCGTGCGTGCACCGCGTCATGTGATCGATTGTGTGGGGCGGGGCTTACCTGCCCCCCGCAATATTCTTGGCCCCCCTGCTCTGACCAAGTGGCTCCGGCGGTTCTTGGCTCTCACTCAGCAAGGCGCGGGCGTCCTTAAGGCAGAGAGTAACGCTGTGCGCGGGTGCGGACTTAGCGCAAGCCTTGGCCCCGAGTCGCCTAGGTTCAAAACCTCACTCAGCCACGGAGTCATTGTCTTGGAGCCTAAACCACCTAAGGGGGTTGCACCTAGGATAAAGAATATATATTAGTTCTACGTGGTTGTTTTGCTGTGCCATTCTATTGTTTTTGTTTCTTTAAAGTAAAATTTATCACTAGGTTTAATATCTGAAAACAACAACACCCTATTAAAATGTCCAGTCTTCAGAATGGTGTTTGGGTACATATAATGATAAAGACAGTAATATCATAATAATATTTAATGACAATAATTTATAAGCAATGTAAAATGTAGTCTTCGGTAAATTATTCGAAAACACAAAGCTGATGAAAAATAGTTGCTTCAAGAACTGAGAAACCGAGTTAACTACCCATCCGCGGGATAGAATTTTTCCTGCGCGCGACCCACTGCAGTGAGTGGGACCTGCACAGGAGCAGGAAATGGCATTTCGTATTGAGCGCGAAATATGGGGAATTGTGCACGACTTTTGTTTTGCTGCGTCTCAAATTACGCTGAGGCTGTATCCCGATAATTCAGCGTTGGATCGGACCCACAGCATTTTCTGCGCGTTTCCGTATTTGTACTGGAACCCACCGCAAGCGCGGAGGATGAGCGTGGAGACGCCCGTCTTGTACACAGCTCCTTCCCTCAGGCACGTCTTGACTCCGGACATTTCCGCAGTTCACACGGTTCATTAGGCGGGAAAGCTTCATGTATTATGGGAGACCATGCACTCCAGAGGACCAGCTTCACACCAAAGGTGTAAAACAGAATACCCTAAAATAGTTAATTACACGTTTTACTTGTTTTTAACTTTGATTGTAAGCCGCCTTGGGCAGCGTATAACTACCATAAATAAAGATAAGTAAATACCGCTGTTCATCAAATCACAGCTGTTTACAAACTACGGGGAAAGCAAGTCCTTAACCCACTTATTGTGGAGGAAGCTCCGCACGTGAATGGGCTCGCACTGCAAATCAGATATCCTCATTCATCGCAATAGCTATGGGGTTCTCCGGCTAGGGCACTGATGAAGGGAAAGTAGGAAAATCATGTGGTTTTCTGCAAGAGAGTTGATTGTTCTAGTGGTGGCGGGTTGAAGTGCAAGAAGACAACTAGTCTAGGATGGACCAGCGAGATGGTTCAAAACAAAGGAGGAGAGCGGGAGTTAACAGGTAGGGCTGGTGGCGCCACTTTTTCGTGATTTCTCAAATGCCTCGTCTCCACAGTCACATCCTGTAAGCGAGAGGTTTTCAACCTTTTTGAGTCCACGGCTCCCTTGACCCAAGTACATTCTTTCTGTAGCTCCCCTGTGGGGCTCAGGAGCCCAGTTATGTCCCCCCTTGCCTGCAGAGCTGGCAGCCTCTCACCCTTTTTCGAGGGAGGGAAGGAAAGAGGGACAGAGAGGCCAGTGTTGCCCACGGCACCCCTGACCATCATTCAAGGCACCCCAGGGTGCCAAGGCACACTGGTTGAAAACCACTGCTGTAAGCCATCAATCTTCCTTTCTCAGGCTGTCCATTCATCGTACTTCCTTTATGCTTTTGCTGTAGCTGGAAAACTTTTCATTAAAAGCTATGTTTTAGAAATGCACTTCTTTTACTAATTCGACAATTGGGTGATCAAGGGGCGGTTAATTTGTGCTTTGTGAGCTCTTCAGCCTTGGTCCTAGCCCGCATATTCTTAACCTCTCCCTTTAATGGCCAGTCACGACGGTGCTGCTTGGAAGCTGCTCCAACTCAGGTTGAAAGGAAGAAACGTGCTAAGAGGAAGGCACGCTCACCACCATCCACTCTCGCCCAGAAACCTATGTTCCCACTGTGGAAGGACGTGTGGATCCAGAACTGGCCTGCGCAGTCTCTTACGGACACACTGTTAAGACTGTCTTTGTGGAAGACACTCTTACTAGGCTACGAGTGACTGTCCAAGAAGAAGAAGCTTGGTAGGAACGGGCCTGCTGCAGGTGACGAAAAGAGTTGAAAGGAAGAAAGCCAAGGAGGAAGAGAAAGTCAATCCAGTTTCTCTCTGGATAGTTGAGATTTATTCCCATCCAAGCTGAGTTGCGACTGCTTCCAAACGCAAGCTTGGGAAGACGTAGCAGAAATAAAGTACTTCCAGATTTTCGCCTTTGGTTAGACAGTTGTTAATTAACTGGGGCGGGGGGTTAAACAACTGCGATCCTGAACCTAAGTGCAGCACAATCCTGTGCATGCTTACACAAAAGCAAGTCCTCTTGGACTCAGTTGGATTCAAGTGCGCATGGAATTGTAGTTTTTCTAAGAAATAAGTCTAACTGATTTAAAAATCCTTATTTTTGGCTGGGTCCAGCCCAGTGGATGTAAGAAACGTGCGTGATCAAATCTAAGTCCTCCGAAGGCTGTAATCTCAAACCTGCCAATTCAGAAACAGATTTCATTCCATGGGGTTTTCTTATGTTCAGGACAAAAACAGCAAAGGGTCTTGTGGCCCCTGGAAAGCTAAGCAAAGCAGCAGCTTCCGTGGGATCGCCTTCGAGGTGCCACAAGGCGGCTGTTCTGCTGAAAGAGCGTCCTCCAGAGGAGGTCCCTTCGGCCCCCCAGTAAAATATTTGGGGGGTCCCCCACCGCTGATGGGCACCGGCATTCCAATGGTGTGGGGGCGCCCCGCCATGGGATCGATGGCTTCCCGTCCCCCCCCCCATATTTCCTTCCCCGGGGCCTCAGGAAGGGGCCTCCCTTCGGCCCAAGGGCTGGATTTCGGGCTGCTCAGCCCAGGCCCGTTTCCTCAGCCGGATCGGGCCCCGGATGGGGGTCTCCCGCCCCTGGGCCCGCCCTGGACCCCGGAGGGCGAGTCCGCGCGCCCCGCGTCTTCCCGGCCGGCCCGCCGCCGCTCGCCCTCCCGCTCCTGGCCTGGGGAACCCGGGGCTGAGGCGAGCGGGCGGCGCCCCGGAGGAAGCGAGGCGGGGAGCGGGAGGCGAGAAGCCGGGCAGAAGGGCCGGGAGAGGAGGCGCTTTCCTGGGCCGCGAGGCCGCCCGGCGACAGCCCGGCCCCGAGCCCCTTCTGCGGAGACCGGGAGCGCCAGCAGCTCCTGGCCGCCCCCCCCTCGCCGCCTCGCCCGCCCGCCCGCCCTCCCGCCGGCGCCCGGCCTCCTTTCTGAGGCGAGCAGCCCGCGAGGCTCCCGCCATTGCCGCGCAATTGGAGGCGTCCGGGTGTCATTTAGTGCAAGATGAAATCAAATGACCCTCTTTCTGAAATCGCCGTGTCTGTGAGGAGAAGTGAGGACTCTGAGAGGGGTCGTGGTCTCCCGACGCCGCGGCCATTATCCCCCATCGGGGCCTTGGCGGCGGCATTCAGCGCGAAGCCGGAGCGGCGCCCCGAGAGCCGAGCCAGGCGCGGGCCTTGCCCCACTTCCGGAGCCCCGGCCTTCCGAGGCTCCTTCGCTCGGGGCTCCTCCATTCCCAGCCGCTGTGCTCCCGGAAGGCCTCCCGGTTGGGCAGCCGGCGAAGAAGAGCGGGGCGGGCGAGGCGACCAGGTCTGCCGGCCGGGCAGCCCCTTCCGGACGCGGCAAGCCGCTCTCCTCCGGAGCTGGTTTAGCGGCCTTTCGTAAAGCAGCACGTAATTGGTGCTTCCGGGTTGGAGAAAGTTTAAGGTACATTACTTTTCTATTATTTGCTCCACCCTTTTTATTATCTTGCACTAGAAGATAAATGCTCCTATAGCCGACATCTCATTGATTTCGTTTTACTCTCCTGGTAATGCAGCCCCCCCTCCTCCTAAGAGGCGCGCACAAGACTCAGATGAATTTATAAAGTGCAGTTAAATAATTCAATAATTCTAAATGTATTACAAGTAAACTATTAAAGTAACATTACTCGGGCCAGGGCTTTCGCAAGTAGAGATACTTGGCACATACTTTCACAGTGGTTATTTCTTTCACTTTTGCCTTCCTTTTTTTGGGGGGGGTATATTTATTTACAACTTCAGTGACAATCCGGTTGCATCGTGGTCTGTAGACGCATCTTTTCCGGTTTGATTAGAATACAGTATAGATCAGACTGTTCTAATTATTTTCTCCTGCAGGCGGCACTTTAAAATCTGGACTATGGAGAGCAGCGGACCAAGGCGATTGGCGAGGAGCTGTCCACTATTTCAGCAACCCGTTAGTTTTTATTACTACGCTTACTTCGCAATTTTTTCCTAAAGCTGCTCATACATCCTGTCAGTATACTTAACAGGGCGAATTACAGAATAATTGGGTTTTGTTTTGCTTTTAAAAAGTCTGAACTTTTGAGGACTTTCCTCTTCCTTGAGCAGAATTGCCCGTTTCTTTTTCCCCATGGAAACCACTTCATTGTAGTAGTTCCGGCATACTTCGGAATATTCTGAGTGATCTGAATGAATGTGCACGCATGTTTGGGAAAATATGCACAATGTTTCTCTTTATGAGTATATATGCTTGTGGATCGCGTGTGTATTTTACACTGTTTATATTGCAGTGTTGATGCTCTTCCTCTTTGTTTGTAAATGTCCGAAAATCCTTACACCCAAATCTCGGTTTTTAAACGTAACACCGGTGACTGCTGACAGTTACGTTAGGTGAAGGAGAGCATTAATCTGTGTCTGTGTCCTCCTTTTCGAAGTGTACAAAAAGGGACCACCAAAATTGTCGGCGTTCCCATGTGGTCAAGGGACCCTGCATTTCTGACATTCAGTGTAACATAATTGCTCTCTTCCAAGTAATATCAGGGTGTTTTTTATATATGGGTGTTCTTATATATCTTCTTCATGTGTTTTTTTAACCAAAACAAAACCCCTGATATACAATATATTCTTAATATCCTTAAGGGCGTTACGTGGGTGGGTACATAAATTCGCTGAATAAATTATGCTTTTCAAAATCCCAGTGATCAGTGTAATAAGTTGGTGAACTGTCTAAGCAGGGGAAGTCTTCCTGTGCCAGCTCCATTCAAACAAATGGGAGCTGCTTTTGGGTTTTACAGGTCATTAGTTCCATTGAGGGTTGTGCAGGAGACATTCCCGCCGGATGATGGCCTTAGATTTACGTGCATATATTTTTGCGTCACTTCTGTCTATTTTCCTATTAGAATTCCACACCAGGATGCTAACAACTGAAAAGTAAAGGACTGCATCTAGTGGCACGATCCCACCACCGATTCGCCTTTCCTTTAAGGGCGCTGGGATGCCCGCTCCCCCCCCCCCGTTTTTATATCTCTTTAGGTTCAGGAGTGGCAGCTTTCTGGTACAAGTGCAACACTGATTGTTCTCTTATCTCAGGTTTCATACCTTCTCCCCAATACTTGGAAGCAACCCCCTCCTCTAATTTTAACGGAATTTACTTACAGTGCATAAGCACAAAGCCCGCTGGAATAAATTATTTTGTCCTCCTGAGCATCATTCGACAAAGAATTGCTTGTTGCTTATTGTTCTAGCTTTTTATTTTTTAATACCTGATCGCAAACAAAGGAACTTGAAATTAGTTTTTAATTGATTTTCACTGGGATTTTCGATACCAATATAAGGGAAAGAAAGTGCAAACTGTGGAGTATGTGCGTAATGAAAAGGTGGGTACAGTAATGCCTTTGTCCGCAGGATATTAATTTCTTAAACTCAGCTCTTCCAAATGGAGGCGAACTGCTCGCTCTCAGACCGATCCACAGCGCTGACCGCCTGCATTAAAAGCAGCACGTAGAAAATGGAAATATTGCTGCAATTGAAATAAGGCTTGGAGCTGAAGCACACGCTTATTTACATGGGAGCATATCGTCACACTAAATAAAATGGGCTTAAATTCCACGAAGTGGTTTAGGATTGGTACGTATCGGTTTACTCCCGAGGTGCTTTGTTTCACTGGATTGGCTGATTTCCTTATTCCTTCTTATTGTCCTGCCAATGTGCGCGGCGCTTTTAACAGGGCTTAAGTCGCCGTCATGGTATTACTATACTTAAAAAAAAGAAGCAGCAGTCCAGAGAGAAGCAAACAAACCAATACAGAGAAGCTCCAAAAAGCAAAGGAGACCTACCTGAATCCACTAACACCTGAACGAGTAACCTCAGCCCAGCAAAGTAGATTTTAAGGTGTGATGGAGATGGGGAGACGGAGAGATCTGGCACTCTAAGCAATTTAGTCACCCGTTTAACAGAAACCCAGCACTATCAACGGACTAAAGGCTCGCTTTCACTCCCCGCCCTCCCCAGTAAACATAATTTTGACAGGAAGGATTAAACCGTGAGCCTTTTTCCGTGTCCAATAGTGCCTGAAAAGCATGGGCACCAAAGCGGGAAGAGATGGGAATCGGCTTTACCTGCGGAAGGCAAAAGCTGCAAATTTACGGTAACTTTCCACGTTTCTGCTCCCGGAGCAGCTTTCTTCCGCTTTTAAAGAAAATGTATATTTACTGACATATTTAAGAAAAGGAGAAAGGAAAAGGAATTAACAACGATTCACTGGAGTATGCATGCACTCGTTAATATACAGATACGAGGTCTGTATAGGAAAGATCTCCGCAGAAAGTCAGCCAGAGATTGACCTGATATTGGAGACCACACTGGCGATCTCTTTGGGAACAGGATAGCGGCCCCTAGGGCGACCCCGGAGGGAGCGGAGACCGGGACGGAGAGGGAGGGGGGTCCATGTCCCCTCTCCGGGGACAACCTCCGCCGGTGACAGCGTGCAAAAAGAGGGAGAGGCCGCGTACCTACCTCTCTTGTGGAGTCTTTGGCTTAACTCCTTAGTCCAAAGAGAACCAAAGAGAGCTCGCGTTTGCGCATAACCACCCGCTGTTATCTTTGCTCTCCGCCCTCTCAAGTCTGCCGAAAGTTAGATTGTAAACTGCTGGGAGCAGGGACCTGTCTTCTCTCCACATATTACACCGCAAAAGGCCCAGCCGGGAAACAAAAGCAGCAAGAATAAATATTTGAAATAGCTCATCCTTCCCCACAACCAATCGTAATCTTGAACCTCTTCTCTCCTCTTCACAGACGCAGACACGCACTTCGGAACTCTTCTAGGGGTCCTGGCGCTGCTTTTCCAGGGATGTTCAGACGACGCATTTCAGGGGCTGGATGTCTCAGTGCAACCCTTGGGTGGAAAACTCGGAGATGCCCAGAATAGCCTCAGGCTCGGTCGCAACGCCGCCTGCCTTCCTCCCTTTCGTGCCCATGCACAACCTCGGGAAGGCTGCAGCCCCAGGTCCCCCCACTCTTTGCACTGGCAGGCAAGATTGGCTAAGGGGGTCTCACCAACCAGAAGGTCCAGGTGCCCTAAAGCATAATCCATGCAGTGCCCCCCACCCAGTCCAGATGTGCCCCTCTGGAAGAGACGGGAGTTTCTCGCTTCCCAAAAAAGACAGATCCAAGATCTCCATCTGCTTGCAACTGAATTATGATTGGAGTTAAAATTATCAGCGAGTTAATCATACCGTTGTTAAATTTTAATACACAAAACAGGGTGGGCTCTTTCCCGTTCTTCTTCAGTTTCCCATACTGAAATTATTGTTGACTTCTTAAGAACTCAAGAGTGACATCCTATACAACTAGTAAATTAGGGATCCTCTTTTTGCCACTTTCCTCACAGGCGCCTTTGAATTTGTTGATATTTTTGTGGGGGCAGGGGAACACCACCACAAACTCTATCCAGTGTATGGATTTGTATACATGTTTCAATTATAGCCCTAGTAACAATAACAATACTAGACATTTATTTAGAGCTCTTGTGTAAGTCCAAAACAGTTCACACACATTATTCCAGAGGTCCTTGAACAACTTTGACATGTAAATGGGACTGTTATCCCATATTGCAGATACGTCTGCGTTTGGAGAAAGTGGTGGTGCAAAGCTTGAAGTTGATACTCAGTTTGTTCATTTCCTTTTAAAAACTGAATTAATATTTAATTAATCTTTCCTCTATTAAAATTGCAGAAACAGTGTACAACACTTCCTATAATGCCTGTTTGGAATTTGATGTGAACAAGGTTCACCAGAGGAGGGTTGTTTGAGAATAGGCTGTGCAGGCAACAGCAACCCTTTCCTTGGGATTGTAATGACTGCAGGACATCCATGACAAGTCTGGACACAGTGAAACATTCAAACACAATTGTGCAGTCGCTGAATGTAGTGAGCAACATATCTAAAAACAGTCAAGAACCAATCCCATTTCAGCCATGCACTCATTAGGCCTCCTTAGGCAATACTGTACCCTCTTCTCAGAGTCCCACCCTTTAGGAGGATTGCTATGAGACCAGCCTATTGCTTAAAACTTGAAATGCACCTCTATAAAAATGAAAAATATTAATAATTTCTTATATATCTTCTTCCTATTCCTACTGCACTAGTGTTAGATTAGAATTTTGGAAAGCTTACTTTCAATTCAAAAGAGGGAGGCATTAATGATGTTTATTCAACAATATTCAGTTGGGCTCTTCCAACCTGTAAGCGAGTCTCCAAGTTTGTTCTTGGAAAGTATCATTTATCTTGCAGACTAACACATGCCAATTAAAGTTATGGGTACGTAGGTGAAAATGAACAGCCAAAAATAAGCATTCAAATGTCCCAGTGATATTTTAGGGAGAATCAAAACATCTGCTGAATTTAGGCTGAAGATTTCAATCCTTTTTTCTTTTTTCTTTTGTAATGCACTCTGCTTATGAAGGTGGCCCTACTCTTTCTCAGTGATTCACTTACACCTCTAATGCACACCCAGTCATAGGTACCACTTGTAGTAGCTGCTGACTGTTGTGCTCTATTATCCCTTATCTCTCCACGGACAGCCATCCAGTGCTTCCAGGATGTTCCCCACTTGTTGCTTTGAAGGTCACAAAAGATACTGAGAAGCAGCAACCAATGGGAAGCTAGTCGTTTCTATAGGGTTGCCACCTTTCCCCTTAATAGAGCTCAAGTGCTGTTCAAAAGTGCAGGCAGAAAAGAAACAGGTGCCGGTGTTCTCAGCATGGGGATGCAGTGACAGCAGAAGCTGTATCTCCTCTGTCAATCAAGTAGCTTTCAAAAGATGCTGGATTGTTAACCCTATACTTACGTGATGCTGCCACAATTCACTCTACAACCAATGATATTCAATAAAAGCTCTGTTTCCATATTGTCTCTGTTCCTGTCAAGTTAGCAGACAGGCTGTCCATCTTCTATCTCAACTCAGATGTGACCAACACATTGGACACAATGGGCCTTCTACCATGACACTACCAATCCACCAGCCTTAGGATGGAAGGTTTGAATTTCTTTTTGCCTATTGCAAGCCATGAACACTGGAAAAGGTGACTGGTTAGGCCCCAAGAGCTCACAGTCCTTTTGACTCCCCTCATGGTAACTGCTGGCATGATAAATCTGAACTGAAACTCTCAAAAGGTGAAAAAATTGAATTAAATATGTGAGAAAGGAAATGAGCAGGATTTTTATTTTTATTTTAAAGGAGGGAGGGAATGATCAACCAAGCCATAATGTTGCTGTGCAATGATACAATGATGCTCAAGGCATGGCAGCAGATTCACCAGGGAGTTGTTGCTGGAATCAAAAACATTGGTTAGGTGTTGCTGATTTTTAAGGTGAAAGAAAACACAGGTTTTTGGATGGAGGAAGACTTTACCTAAATAAAGTAGGAAATTGCTGGAGTGAGGTCATTACAGTGGTACTTCGGGTTAAGTACTTAATTCGTTCCGGAGGTCCATTTTTAACCTGAAACTGTTCTTAACCTGAAGCACCACTTTAGCTAATGGGGTCTCCTGCTGCTGCCGCACCACCGGAGCACGATTTCTGTTCTCATCCTGAAGCAAAGTTCTTAACCCGAGGTACTATTTTGGGTTAGTGGAGTTTGTAACCTGAAGCATATGTAACCTGAAGTGTATGTAACCCGAGGTACCACTGTAGTCCATTTGCCAGCCATTCCATGTTCTATGACTGGTAAGGATATGTGTGGCTCCTTCCCAACCCTTTTCCCTAGGAACCAGTAGTCAGTATCAAACCTGCCATTTCTTGTATGCTGAGCCAGTCAGGTTCCATTGACCTATAGTTTCATGTAGTGGGTCCAACAGCTAAGAAGGTGGTTTCTGCTCATGCTGTAGAGGGAAAGGTAGCCCATCTAGAAGAAAACTCTGATCCTAATCCTCCACTGCCCTGCAGGGACGCGGACTTATAAAAAATATTGGGGGGGCCCGGGAAAGCTCATGAATAATAAATAAGCTCATGAATATGCAAATAAAGTGGCACCGCCTCCTCGTGAGCGAATAGGGGAGAGCGTGCTGCGCCTATTAATCAGCTCCAAAGGAAATTGGGTGGAGCTTTTGCTCGGGAGGGAGGGCAGGAGGCATGCAGCCCGCCCCTCCCTGTGCATTTTGGGCTGGGGGAGGGGCGGCGATGGCGCTCTGCTGGAGGGGCGCCGGAGATTATTGGG